CCACCCACCCCCCCACCCCACCCCCCCCCACCCACCCCACCCACTGCCAACCATAATCCTTAATATCTATCAAAAATGTAACACAGCTTTGAAAAGATTCAATGATCTGTCCTTTACTACTCCCTGGGGTAGGAAATTCCATGGATTAATGGCCATCTGACCAAACAAACCCTCTTCATCACCGATTAAAAGGGGTACATCTTATTCTTAAAGTATGTTGCCTGATTCTAATCACCGCCACAATTTGGAACATTCTCCCCCATCCACTTCATCAATTCCCCACAGGAATTACTATGTTTCAATAAGACAACGCCTCATTCTTCTCCAATGGGTACAGGCTCAGTCTCTTCAAACTTTCTGAGTCAAGTGAACGGCTTCGGAATTGTTTCCAATGCAGTTACATCATGTTGCAAATAAGGGGAACACAACTTTACGGTACTGTATTTGTGGTCTCACCATGGACCTGAGAAGCTGCAGTAAAACATCCCTATCTTTATATTCCATTCCCCTTGCAATAAATGCTAACATTCTCACTGCTAACCTTTCATAAGAGGAAATGTCAGAGGTAGAAAGGATCAGTGAAGGAATTCCAGACTTTAGGGCCTAGACAGTTGAATGCATGGCCACCAATGCTGGAGCAATTATAAATGGTAATGCTCAAGAGGCCAAATCAGGAGCAATGATATAGTGGAGGGCTTTATAGTTGGAGAAGATCAGAGAGGTAGGGAGTGTCAAGACAGCAAAGGGATACAAAAACATGGAAGAGGATATAATAGATAATTGGCAGCAAAAGGCAATATATGAATGCAACTTTGTTCATGCTTTATTTACGTTTTGATAAAACTATTAATAATGACGATTAATAGTTCTTACAAATCCAAACAGAAATTCAAATTTTCACAAAAATGCTAAATTTTAAACTTTATTATAATAAAATTATTACGCTCACTATTATGCTTTCTGTGTAATAAAATCAGAGAAATGAAAACTCATAATTCTACACTGCGATATCATCTGTATTTTTCACTTAATCATTTCAATAGAAGTTTAAAAGTGGCAGAAATATTATTTCAATTACTGCCTAATCAGCACCAAATGAAAGCAATAATTTTGAGACATAAAACTTTTTTTTTGTCTTGACAGCATTCTTCATGCTGATTAACTGACAAAGCACGCCACATCTACTATAATGAGAGACTAATAACACTTCATTTAAAATCAAATAACTTAATGTAACTGTATTAACAAGCACAGTCATTTATGTTACAATGAATTAAATGACTACTGAGAGAATAACCAGGTCTCATCTAAGAATCTCAGTTTTTCAGAAAACGAAAGCACTCCTTAAACAAACAATGTAAATTTTATGTTTGAAGTCACATTAATTGCAATTTTTAAAAGCTCTTGCGGTCTACACTTTTTTAATTCCAGGCTACATAATTGAAATTGGTATAAAATTACAAAGTTACTTCCAATATAACTGACCAAAAAGCCGAATTATAATGGCAATGCTGTACACTTAAGTTGTTTACTGAATCCATGAAGAACTCCAGGAAGCACCTTCTAGATCAAAACGTGTTCTTTGTTGTAGATAGCTTTCAAATGTTTTAAAGGTGATGGAATATTTTAAAAATAACACAAAATATTACTTTATGTTGTTTTGTGTGTTTAGTTTATTTTTCTTTCTTCATTCATGGCATGAGGGGGTCATTGACCAAACAGCATTTATTGCCTATCCTTAATTGCCCAGAAGGCAGTTCAGAGCCAACCACATTGCTGTGCATCTGGAATCACATGTAGGCTAGACCAGGTAAGGATGGCAGTTTCCTTCCCCAAAGGATATTAGTGAACCAGATGGGTTTTCCTGACAATCAACAATGGATTCATGGTGATCATTAGATTCTTAATTCCAGATATTTTATTGAATTCAAATTCCACCGTCTGCCGTGGTGGGATTCGAACCCAGGTTCCCAGAATGTTATTTAGGTCTCTAGATTAACAGTCCAGCGATAATGCCACTAGGCCATTGCCTCCCCCTGACTTCAATTCAATTTCCCCCTTAATTTAATCTTAACTGCTCCTGTTCTAACATTATGGCACTATGTACACTGTGTAAAAAGTATATAGACTACAACTATTATAATACATAAAATCTTACAGCATTTTGAAAAAGACAAAATCTGTCAAAGCTTTTCAGTTGCACTCATCAGGTCATACAGAAGAATACCGATGGAAAGGGGAACACCAGTTTTCTGCTGTATGCGAATATGTTGATTGGTTGGCAAACGGACTTTGATTGGTACAGGAGCTGCCATGGAGAATACAACAGCAAAATGAAGACCAAAGTTAACTAACAAGCTTTGTTTAAATTTGAACCAGGCTGATTGACTTGGATTAGTAAAGACTATGGAATGAGGAATGAGCCAAAGAATGGTTGTCACCTATTTTGTAAACTTAGGCTAAGAAATATGAAAGTTGTTGTTAAAGGCAAAAGCTATGTTTTAAATGGTTTAGGTTTGTAACATGCCAATGGGTATACATTTATTATGTACTATATCAGTATCTGTGTATATTACTTTGGGATTCTATCGTGCAACTTGCAGTTATTTTGACCTTTTTAGGTCAGTCAGGTGAGATATTGGATGAAAACCTTGCAGCCAATTCCCACATTTTAGAAATACACAATATTAATCAGGGAGATTTTAATCTCCATACAGATTGCAAAAATCAGAAGGGCTCAGGAAGCCTAGATCAGGAGTTCATAGACCATTCTTGGGATTGTTTCTTAGAACAGCATGTTCTGCAGAAGACAGCATACTATACGGAATCTGGTATCATGCAATGAGATAGAACTAATTAACAATCTCATAGTGAAGGCATAGGAAACGGTGACCAGAACATGATATAATTTTACTCTCAGTTTGAGGGAGAAAGGAATACATCCAAAACTATTTTCAAAAATTAAATCAGGGCAATTATGAGGGCATGGAAGCAGAGCTAGCTGAATTGAATTACCAAACTAGGATAAAGGAAGGATAGATCAACAGAGATGAAGTGGCAGGTAGTTGAAAGATTTTTCAAAATACACAGAATAGGTACATTTCAATAACTAAGAAAAATCCCAAGGGACAGGCTCACCATCTATGGTTAACTGAAAACATCGAAGATAATTCCTAAAGAAAATGTATATAATTATGCAAAGACAAGTGGCAAGTCAGAAAATTGGATAAATACGAAGAAGCAACATAAAGAGGGAAAAATTAGAATACGACAGAAAACTCGTCAAAAATATAAAATTAAAAGAGTGAGTGCTTCTATAAATACTTCTAAAATTAACAAGTGAATGCTGGTCCTTTAGAAACGGAGTTTGGAGGTTGATAATGAAAGATATAAAGATGGCAGATGACTTGAACAGGTATTTTTTTCATCAGCCTTCACTATAAAGGATACAAGTGACATTCCAGAAGTGGCAATAAATCATAAATGGAAGGGGAGGAGGAACTATGAAAATCACAATGATCAGAAAACTGGTACAAATTGTAGGAGCTAAGGGATGACCAGTGTCCAGGTCCTGATGGACACCATCTTGGGCCTTGAGAGAAGCCTGTGAAATAAAAGATGTATTGATGTTAATTTTCCAAATCTCCCTAGATTCAGGCAAGATCCAATTAGATTGGAAGATACTGAAAGTAAACTCTTATTCAAAAACGGAGAGAGATTTAAAAAAAAAGGAAACTTTCAATCTTTCCGAATCAATGCAAAGCTGATCTAAAGAGCGTCGCATTTGAAGCATGAACTGCAGGAACTTTCAATGTTATAATAACAATGTCAATTATACAGTTGTATTTGCAAATTTGATAACTAAAATGTGCAATTGGCAGCAAAGGCGGTGCCTAAGTGACTTATTTTAAATAAACTAATAAATGTTAACACCCAGTGTCACTAGCAGAAAGGCAACAGTGGAGGCGCCACTGATACAATTAAACAAAAGCAGCATGGAGCTACATGGAGCATTATGGACAGAACAAGTTCAAATTATACCTGTCACTCTAATACTCTGGGTCCATTTGTTGGTGAAATGCAATTATACTTGGTGTAGTGGCTGTCTTAGCACAGTTAAGTGTCCTCTAACTCTGTTCAAAGTTACTTTGTAGGTCATTTGTGTCAACCATTAAAAATGAATCATTTGAACCTGGTATCAGAGTGGTGCAGCTGAACATCTCTGGATTTTCAGAGCTGTAAGAGAGCCAGCTATTGAAAGAAACTGCAGGGAAGAACTTAAAAAAGAAAGCAGTCTATAACCTTGAATTACTGAGCGAGTCAAAATGGTTCAGCATTTTCCACTCCCAGTTGCTAGTGAAATGAAAGGCAGTATGAGACGAAACTAGATGGTCTTTCCACTTACTACTGGCAGACTACAAAATAGTGAGAAAATTCATTTTAGAAAACCCGAGCAAATAAGTTAATGGTGCATAAACATCCTTTCAAAATCCATTCTTTCAGGGCCTCTCAGAATCTCATATTTTAGTCAAATCAATTCTTATTCCACTACATTCCAGTAAATATAAGTTTAACTTATCCAAACTTTCTTCATTAGACAACCCACCCGCTAGTTTTTGAAGTGGCATCTTATTAAGTGCCTCCTAGAGATCAAAATACAGTGCATCCACTGCTTCCTCTTTATCTACAGCATGCATTACTTCTTTAAATGAGTCCAATAAGTTAAACATGATATCTCTTTCATAAAATCATGCTGACCCTGACTGTTTATCTTGAACTATTTTAAGTGCCCTGCTGGAACATCTTTCATCATAGCTTCGAACATCTTCATTGTGACAGGTAACTGGCCTGTAGATTCCTTTTTTTTGAATAAAGGAGTAACATTTCCTATTTTCCAATCTAATTGGACCTTTCCCAAATCTTCAAAATGAAACCCAACCACTCTATTATTTCAATCATTTCTTTCAAATTCATATACCCAGGAGTCCTCTTTCCCACCAAAACAAGCTGACTGAGTCTCAAACCTGTTGGACATTTGCATAGGATGGGGTTTCTGTGCACCTGCCCACTGGGTCTCCTTATCTGAAATAGTAGGAACTGCAGATGCTGGAGAATCTGAGATAACAAGGTGTAGAGCTGGATGAACACAGCAGGCCAAGCAGCATCAGAGGAGCAGGAAGGCTGACGTTTCGGGCCGTTTCTGAAGAAGAGTCTAGGCCTGAAACGTCAGCATTCCTGCTCCTCTGATCATGCAGCTCTACACCTTGCTATCTCAGGGTCTCCTTATCTGCCTGATTCACAGTCATACTGTCTTATCCCAGACCAGTAACAAATCAGACAGTTCTATCCAAAAGGGTATGAACACCTCTTGAAATAATTATACAAATAACTTTTCCCAGCCTGATGTGTCACAGTATCTGTAGTTCAGCCTCCAACTCAAACTGAGCTGAAACTGCTTGAGCTGCAAAGACTTATTGCAGCTGTGTTATCTTTGGGTTACAGTGGTTGGCATTTTTACTAAGTATTAATTAAGTAATTAATATGATAAATTATTAAATGAATTAAAGCATTTTCTCACACTCACTGTACTAATTGAAACCTTAGAATCCAATAAACTTCACCACTGTTAGATAAATAATGAAATCACCAGTTTTTACTTCTCGTCTGCTAGATCTTTAACTTTTTTTTTCAATTTCTTCTGCTACAATAGTTATTCACCAACCATATAACTCACAACATTGCCATAATATCAGTGTTTGACTCATTTTTCTCAAACAGGTTGTATTTACCCACTCCCCACTGTGTATCTCCCATAGGTTCAGCTTAATTCACTCCTCTCCCTCAAAGTATTTATTGGCCCAGATATTCCAATGGTCAGTCACTGAGGCAAGAGAGGCTGGAGTTACATGTCAGGACCACAAGGAATCTCTGACACAGTTGACTCTGTGAGAATTGCCCGCTGACCTGAATGCTGCCCTCTCTGCGTGATTTCACTCCCCACTTGCTGCCAAAACACTACCAATCTCAGCCCAAACCTGCTGGACCTTTTCCCTGGCCCGCCTGGATACAACAACTCTGCTGGGCATGTGATATATGCATGGAGTGAAGTAAACTTATACCGGTTGACATCAACGGCTATCAATGAGAATGCATAATGCTTGAAAACATACTTTGGTTGTTATGGCAAAACAGTCATTATGACAAGTGAAAATTCACAAGTGAAGAATACAGCCACTTTGGAAAGGATTGGGAAATTCAAAACATTAAATAATCACCACAATATCCCCAGTCAAACGGAAAGGCTGAGGCAACAGTGAAAATCACCAAAGGAATCATAAAGAAAATCAATCACATCCTATACAAATTTGCACAAAACAATCTTTGAATGGAGACATAAACCTGAAGGCATGCCAAGTAGTTCAGTCCAAAGACTAATATCATCCTGCACTCAAACTACTCCACCAATAGTGAAAAATATTACTGAAGCCAGGAATAATACATGACAGTGATAAAATCAAGGTGAAATGAGAGAAAGCTAAATTTGATAAAATTGCAAAATCATGGCTAGAGCTGGGAATTTGACAGCCAGTGTCCAAATGTTCAACGCGGTCAACAAAAGTCAGCCCACATGTCAATCTGCGTCCTGTGTAGAACAGTCATCATCTCAATTGTAATGCAGTGAACATAAATCTGGCATATTGCAAATACAGGCATCTACATACAACTGGAGAGGCTTTACCTTCACTGCAGTCAGCTGATTAGGAAAATGCAATTTCAGCAGGCTGCACCACAAACAGACCAAACATCAATGCCAGAAGTCCACCAAACCCAGCAATAGAAACAAATTGACAACAACAGTTACCACAACAAACGTACTCACCACAGGAACATCACCCTTGGAATGAGTAGATGCCAAAGGAATGGTCAATTACAACACATGTGCATACCATTAGCAGACCTATATGATTTAAAGACTGAATGTAATGCATGTGCAGAGTCTGACAAAACTGGAACGAAACTAGAGTGAACACATGGTTCTGTTAATGTCTGATAGTCTTACTTGTTGATCATATAAATTGGCTAAGTGAATAATCTGTAACTGCAAATGAACGCACATGGATGAATAGTGGGAAGTCTGCAGAAATGCAATTATACTAGCTGCCTTGCCACTGGCATGTGACTTCTACCTCTGTGCCAGATATTGAGCACACATCACTTGTAACACCAACAAAATCAAGGTTCACATAGTATTGCACGTAATACATCTGTTCCTCGAGCTTCCTTCAATTACAGCATTGATATATGATTAAAAGTCCATAATTTGACAAATATTTCTGGATTTATCCTATCCTCTCTCCTCTGTTAGTTCAGAAAAATTGTTTTAACAACAGTACATTATATCTATACTACATACACCAAAGCAATTCTTGCTTTCTCTATTTTATGAAACTGTCATTCAGCTTGCCTCTGGAAGAGCAAAAACGTCAGGCAGTGATATTTTGTCTTAGCAATCAATGTTATAAAACCATTTCCCTGCAGTATTAATATTAAATGTTTTAATATGTGATTCGCTATAAATTTTAAGTGAACATATTCTTCTTGTGACGGATATTTTGAATTTCGAACAATAATGACCTTTAAAAATGGTTTAAACTGCAAATCAAAGCTAAATTTTAGAGGTAGAATGAGCTATAATTCAATAGTTTATCACTACCCATGTTTTAAATTGCTTTAGAAATAATTGTCTAAGATCTGAGTTCCCTACCACACACTGTGATACTCATTAGTGATGCCAAAAAACTAAGAAACACTATATTCCATTGTACTAAGAATGCAAAGACATTGCAAATAACCCTGACCTGCTAAATTAACTGAAATCTATACTCAGTCTAAAAAGTAGTTAAACACTTATTTAATTGCAACTGTTAATATAACTGCAGGTCCTCTTTTTTTTCCCGACTGGTCAGTATCCATTTCATTTTCCATTATTTGAGTTAGTAATTTTTTCAAGAAATTGAATTGATTTTCACAAGCTAGAAATAATTATTTTCTTTGAGAAAAAGCAAACAAAAACAAAGAAGCTTTTCTGATATAAGGTTTTTCATAGAATCTTACAGAATGGCCATTCAGTCCATCATACATCTTTAGAAGAGCTATTCAAGTAATCTCATGTCCTCAGTTCTCTTCCCTCCTCCTCCCCCCACAACCCATCAAATTTTTCTTTTCCAAATATTTATCCAAATTTCTTTTCGACAGCTACTTTTAAATCTGTTTCCATCATCCTTTCATGCAGAATGTTCCAGATTGTAACAACTTACTGCATTAAAAAAAAAAGTCACTTCAACCTCTGGTTCTTTAGCAAATTTTCCACAACTCCTGGGTTCCCAATCTACACATCAATGGAAACAGTTTCTCCCCATTACCTGCAGCACAAACGCCCTTAATTGTGAATATCCATTTATTAAATTTTCATTTGCTTGGAGATCAACTTCTCCAGTCTTTCCGTATTATAGTGTCTCATTCAAGAATATTTTTGAGTAGATCTAGACTCTAAGGCCTTGACATCTTGTCTTGAGTAATCCTGAGAAATGAACACAATACTCTTACAGTTCTATTTGTAAACCAAAGATCCTATAATTGTATCTTTCCTAAAAAAAAAGCAGTCTTATCTACTTGTCCTTTCACCTTCTCAAATTTGTTTGTTTTATTTATTTTATTATATTATATCTTATTTATTTCTGGCCTCTACTCCTACACCTCATTTGAAATTGGCCATTAAGTTCATATTGTCTTCTCTCACTCTTTATAAAATCTGTCACGTCACACTTTGCTACATTATTATTACATTTGCTATGACTCGGTCCTTTTCACCAATGTCCTTCTGAAATCTGTTCTATCCTACCCACAGTAAACTACCTTCCCAAGCTTTCACTATCCTCAAATTTTTAAGTTGTGCCTTGTATATTAATAACATAGAATTGCATGTATATCAAAGAGAGCAGGGGTCTTAATTTCAATCTTTGGGGGCCACAACTGTATGCATCACTCTGAAAAAAAAGTGACAACGTACTGTTTTCTGTCCTTCACAAAATTATACATGCATGCGGCCAGTGCCTTATTATTTCCATGGACTTCACCTTTGCTGATAAATGCATTGTGTGGCACTTTACTAAAAGCCTTTTTAAAGTTGACATCCAAAACACAAACTTTTCCTCATGAAGTTCATCAACCTTATCAGATATCTTATGATAGACTGGACCCGTCTTTTAACAAGTTTGTGATGGTTGTCACTAATTAACTGGTGTTGTTTCATGCAAAATATAATTTTATCCCAAATTAATTGTTTCCAGAGGCCTCCAACCCAGTAACGTTACGCCGACTGGCCTATCGTTACAGAATTTACCCCTTTGTCATTTATGAACAGACATGTAACATTTGAAATTCTCCATCAGGTAGGTTAACAGAAGAAATGGTAAAAAGAGAACGTGGACAGGAATAGTGCTAAACACACATTTAAACAGAGCCCCAAAGCCTTTTGTTCACCCTAACAAGTAGTTTTGTGCAAAGTGAAATACATCTCATTTAAAAAACTGAATTTTGGTATGTAAATTATGTCCAATTTATGAATTCAGTTTTCAGTGTAACATTTTTAAATTATGCAGCTTTTCAATTCTGGCCACAGCATAGTGCTGTCTTGCAGAGAAGGATTTAAAATTCAAATTAGAGAAAAAAGTTATTTTGAGACAAGAATCAGTTTTGCATCACAAACACAAAAATAAAACAAGAAACTCTGGCATGAAGGGTGAAATCACTTTTTAAGATTGATGCCTTTCAAACAGATCAAATACACATTTAAAGAGGAGGTTCATAATTACAATCCTGATCTGTTTCAGTTACCAAGTTTGTTTATTTATTACTAAATGGTTGCTAAGGCTATTCAATACTAAAAGCAGGGTTAAACAGCCAGAAAAATGCAAACCATTTTCTCTTTCACTTAGAAATAAGAACTGGCCTTAAGCCCAATTACTCAGCTCCAAGCCTTTTTTTCTAAATAAATCTAGTCAGTCTCAAAGCACGACCAGAAATTACAGTTACAATGATGTCATATATTTAACTATTATAGAGACCCAGCTGTCCTGTAATATAAAGTTACCTTATATTCCCTAAGTTGGTTGGGAAAATAGGCCTCAAACCAGATATTGACTGGGACATGTTTCAATTTTTCCAGATTTATGCACTACAGTAGTCATACAAATATAATGTAGGCTGCATGTGATCATCCTAGTCTGCTTCTGAGAGCAGTTGGAAGGAACCTCTGATGTTAAACCAGTGCCTATTAAAACTCTGGATTATAAAAGCTTGTTGTGCAACTGCTCCACATTGGTGCTGTTAGTACAGGTCTAAAGATAATACCATTAGTCATTTTTTTGAGAGACAACTAGGAACATAGAAACATTGATAATAGGAGCAGGAGGAGGTCATTTGGCCTCTTGAGCCTACTCTGCCTTCGAATATCTCATGGCTGATCACCTACCTCAATGTCATTTTCATGCACTATTTCCATACCCTTTAATGCCTTCAATGTCTATAAATCTATTAACTGACAATAATGAATGACTGAGGCTCCAGAGAGCTCTGGGGTAGAGAATTCCAAAAATTCCAAATAAAGTCCTCCTCATCTTGAAGTGGCTTACCCCTTATTCTGAGACTGTACTCCCAGTTTGAGACAACTTGCAAGACCCCCAAGTAAGGGCATCCACCCTGTTAAGCCCTGTAAGAGTTTTGCATGTTTCTACAAGATCACCACCCCATTCTTCAACTGCAGAGAAGACAGGCCAAGTCTCCTCAACCTTTGTTCATATGATAATCCTACCAGCCCAGGCATTAATTTAGTGAATCTTTGTCGCTCTTCTATTGACTTGCTCAACAATGGAATCCAAAACACTACACAATACTCCAGCTGTGGTCTCACCAAGGCTCCATATATTTGCAGAAAGACAACTTCATTCTTGTACTCAAATCCTCTTGCAATTAAAGGAGCAAATTTAGCAGGCAGCAGGAGCAAATGGGTGGCACATCAGCACCAAAGCTGCTATTTGTGCAGGTGCAGAATATTGCACCTCTTTTGAAAACTCTTTTGGACTATTAATGGTCTGAACGCAAACTTTGATTACTAGTCTACGTAGGCTGCAAGTTTAGTATAGATGTCAATGACTCAGGCTTCACACTAACAATACATTTGCAGCACTAATCTCACATCTGGATCTGATACACTCCTGACTGTATCGTAAGTATAGCCACATCAACTTGATTATGTTGTAATATGACGTAGAAAAGTTATATTTAAAAGTGTCTTCTGCTGCTATTAACAGTTTGTTGTTTTGTAGCTTTTTTCAAGGGCATTATTTTGAAGACCACATTTCAAGTTCTCAATAAATTAGTTATGATTTAAGACTAGACTGATTCCAACCTTGTTATTTTCATGCAAGAATTCCAAAGTTCGTTGATAAATGAAAGATGGCAATATTTGGAAAGAATGGAAAGAATTAGGAATTCCTTAGTTTACTAATCAACATTTAGCATTTTATAATCATATGATAAAACACACTTCTAATGAACTATTCTTTCTAAAAGAGACCTGCAATGTCTGTATCTGATTCAAAACATTCTGGTTATCACACCTGGTATAATAATTAAACTATCACAGTACTCCAAATGTTGGTGTTTCCAGATGAAGGCACCTCAATTATCCATGATTAACAAGGTAATAATGAACATGAAAGTGCGCTTTTTGTGGGTTTTGAGACACCAGGGACAATTTTGGCACAAGCCAATGCCAAGTATTGAACAAGTTCTGGTATAGTGAAGCTCAAGTTAAATGCACACATTTAATTAATTGAAATTGATAGATGGAACCACTTCAGTTGATTCTACATTATAACATTTGAATTTTCAGTTGCTGTACATGGTTTCACAGCAATGACTACAAAGCAAAATATAAAACATTCCAGGACTGAATAAAATATAATTTAGATGGAGGAAAAAAAAAACAGAAATGCAGTTACTCTGCATTTAAACAAGCAGCATATTTAGCTACATAGCAGGACATAGAAAAACAAAATGAGTAATTTAAATGCGGGAAATCATCTATTCAGGAATTGAACATAATTATTCTTCTTTCCATGATATTTTGCATATTCAGAATGCCAATGTAAACTTTAACTTAGTCATAATAGAAACAACTTGCATTCACATAGCAAAAGTATGATCAGGCCTGAATTCAGGTGAGTAAATATTTCAGCTTTATCAAACATAACTATATACAAGAAATGGTGGCAGAAGGCATTGCTAGTACCCTACAATTGAGGTCCCAGTTGTACGTACTATGACATAAATCCTTACATACACACTAAGCAGCTATTCTTAGCACAAAAGTATAGTCAACCCTATACTCCACATCTTCCCCTAAAGTTGACACTTCCCCAAAAAAAATTAATCTTATGAATTACTTAAAATTTACTTCTAAATATGACTCCCCATGCGCTCCCCGCCCCCCCAAAAAAATGCAAATCTCTTTTGCTGAAGCATTAATCTGCAACAATATTCTTGGCACTCTTGGAATTTGTGCAGGATCACGTGAACACTGATCATTGCCTTGTTTGGCAAATAGTCGGTGCAATTAGACCAGAGTTTCTTACTACAGCTGGCTCTTAAGTTATGACACTTAAGCAGCCTTGAATGTGATAGCAATGAAGCCAAAGGAAAACTGACCAGGAGAAAATACTCAAGGACACGAATGATCGCAGCTTCATAAAATCAAAGATAACAAATTGAAATAGACAGGTTCTTGATGAGCAAGGGTATCAAGGGTTCCAGAAGGCTGGAGAATGGGATTGAAAAACATATCGGCAATGATCAAATGGCGGAACAGATGTGATGGGCCAAATACTCAAATTCTGCTTCTCTATTTTATGGCTTATGGTCTCATGAGATCATCGGTCTCAAATCCTTCTGCTTTGTACTCTGATCCTGGGACGAAGCTGGTAAATGAAAGCAAGAAAAAAGACCATCCTTTTTGCTAAGGTACTCCTCAGCTGCAGACATTCTGTAATTTAGTACTCTGATCTTTACTGAATGAAACAATGAGTGCTTCCATGGCTTGCTGATGGAATTCAGCTGTATACTTAAGTTTGTCTTCTTTTTTGTTCATTAAGATTCTATGAGTATTCAATATTGGCTTGATCCAGTTTGGGGTTTAATATCTCCTTCTCACTAGGTAGTTTTTTTTGTCAACTATTTACAATGGTTGCTGTACATGGTGGGTTAAGCAGGATAAACAGACAAATTTAATATTTGTTAATTTTTGCAAAAGGGTCATTCTTCTCAAAAGAAACAGCACAAAGTTCGCTAACGTCGTTGATCAAGTCAAAGGGTGCAGAAAGATCAAGAAGCTCTGCTTCCAAAAGTTCATCTGCATCTGTGGCAGTATTATTCTCATTACTCTCCTGAAACAGCAAAACAAGGTCCAGAACATATCTTGCCACTGGTCGCCATTATGCTTGCTGTATCCTGTTCTTACTTCTCCTGGCCTTTTTTCACAGAGAAGTGAAAATCTGCACATTTTCTTTAGTCCTCGTGACAAGGATTCAATGAAGACTGGGTCACAGAATAATATGCCAACTCTGATTTCTGCTGCAGCCAGAGACTGAGGAAGATCCAAGTTACACACGCATTGATGTTCAATGAAGAACAACCTTGAAAAGCAATGAAATACATGCAATCAACAATCTTTCTCCCAAAGCAGCAAAGAATAGCTTACATCTGCCCTTTGCATTTATTCAGATTTCTCCTGCAACTTGAACTTTGATGGAAGACCATTTGAGAAATTGAAATGTCAACCCCAGAGTTAAATCTGAAAAGCTAGCATGCTTGTCCCATGTCCAAATTAAAAGTTTTTCTTGCCAGGAACCATGATATCAATGGTATCAGAATGCCAAAAATAGTCCTGTTTGTTTACCATTTTCCCATCCACCCCAAAAGAATTGCATCCTGTTCCTCAGTAGTATCTATTTCTCGGACAACTGCAGACTTGAACGGTCTGTTTTTCCTTCCCAGACTTTTATGCTACACATGGGAATCTCAACAGCACACCACTGAAAGGGGGCTTTCTTACAACATGCATGCAATCAGTTTAATTTGCTGGGCAAGGTGGAACTTCCCCATGACAACGTAGTCAAGAAGCAGTGGTGGCAGTGGCATCCATTTCTTATTGTGGCTGCTGTGTTGCTGATGCATTCATATTTCTCAGATCAACAAACTGGATTGAGTGAAAGTAAGTGCTTGGACTTCTGAAAAATTCTATATCTCCAGAGGTAAAAAGTCTGCTTGGCTTGCAAAATTAAGCCAGTCTGGCAAACTACATTGCATTTGACCAAAGAATTCTGATACAGATGCATCCAGGAACTCTATGATACAGTCCTATATCAGTTCATTTTTAATGTTCCACATTGATAATAGGAAGTAGTGCAAATTATTTACAAAGAAATTAATATTTTCTCCTAGCTGCTGGATCCACCAATTAAACTTTGCTTGGTTTATATTGAGATTACATCAGATTATAGGAGGAACTAAACTAGGAATTACAGCCTTAAATTACATTGCCAAATCTGGTAGTTTCTTCTTCCCTACACTGCTAGTTGAGAATGGTGTTGGCACTGCTGCCAATTGCGTACAATAATACACTGACTTGGTCTTTGGTTCAGTTTTTGGTGTCAATTGATCCAATACACAACCTAGTCAGGACATCTACTTAGTCTAGGTGCTCTGGTGAAAGAAAAGCCTTTTCCATCTGAAATAACTCCACGGAGGCTGGTATCCCATTACCAAGTCACTATTTACACACGCACAGTATGTGGACTCTGACCAGCCAGCTCAGAGCCAGTCCCTAGATTCAAGAGAATCCCTGAGACTCCTGTTTATATCTGCCAGCCAGGGCTCCCCGATTGGGGCTGTTAACCTGGGCCAATCAGGGAACTCATACACAAAGAAAAGCCATCCTCATTCCAATCACTACATCATCACTAAATATCTTTGCTAGATCAGTTATGGCCGAAAAAAGTTTTTTTTTCCCCATTTCTGCTGCTTCCCAGTGTAATGTGGGATATTCTCTTTTGTGCTGTTTTCTCTTCCTGCAATTCAGTAACTAGATCAGTCTTGGAGTCCTTTGCCCTTTATACTACACTGTTGCTGGGTTTCTCTGCAGGCTATTCCTTCCCTTCTGTGGTTAGATTGCGGGGCTCGCTTTATCCTTACCCTGATGCACCATACTGCCACTGAACTTCATTTCAGGTGCTCCTTGCCGCTTGCCTCCGATTCTGTGGACCTGGTCAATGCTTGCCACCAAACAGTAAGGTCAGGCATAAACTTAGATGACAGAATATTAACAGCCTTAATTAAGCATAACTATATATAAGGCATGGTAAGAGAGGGCATCTCCTGAAACTCTATAAACCTAAGTCTCAGTTCCATGTATTCCTATGTCATTTTGACATAGACTCCATATCTACATGCTCACTGTCACAGTGTAGTTAACTCTTTACATCACAAATAGTTAATTTCGTGGCCTCAAAATGTGTCATGGTATTTCTTAACCAATTAATTATTGTTGAAGTGTGCTCACTGCTGTTTTGTAATGAAAACCATCAGAAATAGCAAATAGGATAACTGATCAGTTATAATTCAATATAAAATAAAAACAGAAAGTACTGTAAATACTCAGCATGTCTGGCAGTATCTGTGAAAACATAAACACTTAATTTTTCAGGTTTCGGATATCTGGTCCTTGCCCAGAAGTGTTAATCATGTTGCCATCTCTGCAGATTCCAGTTGACCTGGTGTATTTTTCAGTATTTTCTATCAAGTCCCCAGATCTTGATGAACTTCATCCTAGTGTCATAAAAGGTGTTGCTAATGAGGTAAGCTGGTATGATTTTCCCAAATTCCCTAGGTTCAGGAAAGGTTCCATCAAACTGCAAAGTAGCAAAAACCCCTCTAATCTGGGTAGACAATACTGGTGGTATTATCACTGGACTGTTAATCCAGAGATCCAGGTTCTGGAGACCCAGGTTCAAATCCCGCCACGTGAGACGGTGCAATTTGAATTCAATTAAACAAAAAGAGTCTGGAGTGAAGAGTCTAATGATGACAATGAATCCACTGCCAATTATTGGAAGAACCCATCTGGTTCACTAATGTCCTTCAGGGAGGGAAACTGCCATCCTTACCTGGTCTGGTCTACTTGCGACTCCAGACTCACAGCAATGTGGTTGACTCTTAAATAGGATGGGCTATAAATCTGACCTAGCCAGTGACACCCTCACCTCCTAAATGAATAAATAAAAGTTTGCTCGATGTCTGATATGGGGAAAAGTGTCAGAATCCATCATTAAAAGAGACTGTAGCTTGGCACTCAAAACTAGGAAGAATCAACATGGTTTTGTCAAAAGGAAGTCATGTAAGACCAATTTATTGGCATTCTTTCAAAAGAAACATGCTGTAGTTAAAGGGAAGCCTGTAGATATTCTATACTTGGATTTCCAGAAGCTACCTCAAAGATTATTGCAGAAAATGAAAGATTAGTTGGCTGGCTGAACACAGAACATACACAAATGGATTTTCACCTGATTAGCTGAATGTGAAATTGGAGTAGTGGGGCCTCAACATTTTACAACTTGTATCATGGCTTACATGAAGGCTGCGACGGTATGATAGCTAAATTTGTAAATAACACAAAGTTAAGGTACAAATGTATTTGTTAAGACAACATAAGTTGACTGACTGGGCAAGAACCTGGCAGCTGGAGTATAATGTGGAAAATGTCAATGTGAAGTTGTTCACTTTGGCAGGGAAAATTAAAAAAACAGAGTAATACAGAACAACTGTGAAATCGGCGGTGTGGAACAATCTAGGATTTGAGTGTGTGTGTTATGTCGGTCCAGCATGTAATCAAGAAGACTAATTCTATTAAAGATCCTTTATTGTGAGAGGAACTTAAAATAAGAATGACATGTTTATATTATGCAGGGCATTGATATGACTACATTTCCAATGTTGTATGTAGTTTGGTCTCTTCATTTAAGGAAGATGGAAATGCATTGGATGGAGAGGAGGCTTACTAGACTGATGAGTCACCGGACTCAAAACGTTAACTCTGCTTTCTTTCCACATATGTGCCAGACCTGCTGAGTTTATCCACCATTTGTTTTTACTTCAAATCTTCAGCATGTATAGTTCTTTGTTCTACATTATGAGACTGATGTTTGGAATGAATGAGTTGTTTGATGAGGATAGGTTGGAATGGCCGGGCTTATTTCCACTAAATTTGAGAAGAGTGATTGGTGACCTAATTGAAGTGTCTAAGATCCTTATTGCTCTTGACAAGGTGGATGTGGAAAGGATATTTCCTCTTGTGAGTGAGTCCAGAGCTATGGCAGTTTTAAAATTAGGGGTTCTCCTCTTGGAGCAGCAGTGACAATGTTTTCCCTCAGAAGTTGCGACTTGGGAAGTCTGTGCCTCAGAAGATACAGGAGCAGAACCATTTAATATTTTTTAAGCAGAGATAGATTGATTTCCTTGCCTAACATGAATCTATGCTTATTCAGGGTAAATAGGAATGTGGAATTGAAATGCAAGCTTATCAGCCATGATCTTACTGAATAGCGGAGCAGGCTTAAAGAGCCAAATGGCCTTCTTCTACTGTTACTTCATATGTCTATTTATCAATACTTTCCACACTACTTTTTAGGCTGCTATTTTAATTAACATTTTCTGTGTAAGACTAGCAATGCTACAGTAAATCTATTCATCACTGACCATGTGTGCCAGCCTTCAAGTAACAGAAGAAAAGGTTGTTTCAACACTGCATGATGTTTACTACCATTCAAGACAATGCACGAGACTGAATTAGATTTAATTATTTTCATAACTTGCTATAAACTGTAAAATACCACATATTTTCAAATCTTATTCAAAGTCACACAACAATTGTCTGTCTGCTGAATCAATGGTATTTACTTGGTGTTTATCATTATGGTCCATGTTCAATGTTCAAGGTAATTTTTTATTTGAACATTACTCATACTTAAACATTTCTATTCTTTTTGATTCAATTGTAAAACAAAAAGTAAGACTTTACTAGGGCTCAATAATACTCAAATATTTAGTAAACCATACAAACAATGCACAAAAATGACATGGGCAAATCTTATGCTGTTAAAACCTCATGAGCAGTGCCACATGATTGAATGCCATGTGATTAAGTTTTACATGATCAAGGGAACACAACAAACCAGAGCTGGCAAGCCTAGCGCAATATGGATGTGCTCTGGAACAGTGATTGTATCTGAACAGTGGGTCAAAATTCCATGTTGTGTTGTGGTGATGCTTCACTGCACTACAAAATTCTGTCATTCATTTCTCTACCAATTTCCATCTGAAAATATTCATAAAAAGCAATAATGTCAGTAATTGTTGAAATTATTATTCAGGTTTTAGCCTAAACTGAGCTACGCTGATTGTGTTAAATGCTAATTCCTTGCAATGTTGGCAAGACTGCAGCAGTGGAGCCTGGGATTCTGGGGCATCAGCTGGACCTGGAACGGGGACTCATTGCAGCCTGGAGACCGAAATACCTTACAGCAACCTCGGAAACCTGAAGAAAACCCAGAACCATGCTTGACAAAAAGGACTGTGAAGC